GAGCGAGTGTTTGGTGAGGAGTACTTGCTTGTTCTGCACGGCGCAGTATTTATTGTTTCATGCATTATTAATGTGGTATTGAAATTTAAAGACAGCCCACGCTGTGCATCTTCATCTTCAGTGATGCGCTCCAGCCTTTCTGAAACGTTCAGGTGAATCTTTCATTGCGTTTAAAAGTATCAATGTTACAGACTTCTAGCTGAGCTCAGAAGGATCCCGAGGCAAAGAACCAGACAAAAGCTGTCTCACTCCACAAGTCAGAGTAATGGCTCTCCATGTAAGATGATGCTTTCCAATACTACACCTAATTTCAAGGCTGCCTTCAGTAAGAGCGTGCACAGCATTGCAGATGGTGTAGAGACGCATACACACACTGTATATAATTCATCTGATGATTATATTCTCAAATAATTTAGTCATCTGGTCTATAAAAGGTAAGTAAACTGATAAAAGCCCATCACAGTTTCCTAAAGACCAGGATAATGTCATCAAATGCTTTGTTTTGTTTGAGAAACAGCTCAGAACCCAAAGATATTCAGTTAATATTCTGTTGAGACAAGAAACTACTTTAACTTTGTTTGAAGCTGAAACTAAATAAAAATAGTTGCTGATGAATTCGACTGATCGTAGCGGCTCTACTTTATATGTGAAGTGAGGGAAGCTCTGCAGCATAATCCTTACTTCTCCCACCCCCCGTCCTCTATGTGCTTTCTTCAGCCAGGAGAAATGTTATTTTTGAACACTGTAGGGCAAAAGTGGCAACAATCGACACACATTCTGAAGGCAAGAAGAGTTGCAGAAAAGTGTGAAGAGACTAATGCGTTACATACTGAGAACTCAAAGTTTTCTCTAGTTTATACAATACATGCAGAATAATAAATCAAAGCTGGCTCTATTTGCATGCCCAGAACTGAATTATTTATGCTATTGAAACATATTTATGCAAATTAAATGTGTTTTCTTACCACAAACAGTATTGAAAAGAGGCGTTGTTTTAGATTTTTCAAAAAGCCTGCATGCTTCACAAACTACATTGCACATGGTTGAAAAGATGAAGAGTCATTTTAAATTACATTGTTCCCATCACAGATGACACCATACAGCCATGATAATCCCAACCTGTGCCAAATATGGATTTGCACAATGATAACTTCTGCAATCCCTCTGCTATTAAAGAGGTGAATCACATTTCAAGAGTTTAATTTAAAAAAAAAAAACTACAGAGCTTGTGTTAAAGTAGAGCGCATTATGCTGTGAGTCACGTAATCCTCAGCTTACAAACAGTGATATTTTTTATAAGCAGAACAACCTGCATTTTTCAGAGCAGTAATAATGAATTTCAGATAAAACGAATTTAATGTGTTTGGGGCTGAAACCTTTACAGTGAGAATAACTGTTCCACCTTTATAGTAGTGAATAAACAACTCTCCCCTCATTGTTCTCTCTCCAGCTGCAGCAGTAATATGGCCACTTTTGCAACAACAAGAACAACAATTTGTCTCTATTTATGCAAATGTTGTGTGTGTGTGTTGGTGGAGGCCGACCCGGGCAGAGGGCAGCGTGCCAGGCTGCTCCACTACACCGGCAGCTCCCTTCAGAGGTGAGAATGAGCAATGCTGCTCGGCCTCTCCACAGGATATCTCATCACCACAGGGGGAAAAATACAGAGGAGATGTTGGTAGGTGGGCGGTGAGGAAGGCAGCACATTGTGAGCCACACTTCCATACAGATGCCCTCCCTCAGATGGGACTGCAATGTCTGTCCCTGCACTGGTTAAAAACAGATTTCATTTTTTAGAGTTGTTTTCCTCCCCTTCAGTGCAGTCTATAAGGGATTCGATCTAATATGATTTTGACAAATAAATACACCGTTGAGCGAAAGGCGACCTCAGCTGTGGCCTGATTTAAACAGAACATGTATTAATGTGCTGCAGGCTGCTGACTAACACGGCTCATTAGTATCAGGAACACAATCACAGTGTAATAACACTCTGTCCAAAGTGACCGGGGATAAAGTATCTGTTACTTTCTCAGAATAACAATAAAAAGCAGCCAAGGATGACCCTGTTTAATATCTGAGGTAGAAAAAAAAGCTCCTCAGCACCGGCAGACACTGAACACAGCACGAACCTGTCATGTCACTGGTTGGTTCAAAGCTGGAAATGATCTTGAGATAATCCACGACAGACAAAATAACACGCACGTCACTGCACACTCTGTGCAAAACGGTTTAGGTTTAGGCCCACAAAAGAAGTCAGTCATGTATCTTTTTTTTATGTTTTGGTCTTAAAGAGCAAATTTCACTGCTGGAAAGAGGATGGTTTTATTAAAAAGGGCTGTTTATGTGGTGGGAAAGTGCAATTATTGTTGAAATTGGCACCCTATGATGAAAATAAAATGGTCATAGGACATGAAACAAAGGCTGTGGTGTTACCCAAAGCTGAAAGCAACCATTATTTTTGAAAATAATCCTTTCTGAACCAGTCCAAAACCAAAATATTTTGGTTTATAATAGAGTTTATCATCATAAAGGACACACATAATCTGCAAACCGTCACATTTAAGAGGTTGTAACTAGGATTTGTCTGGTAATCTTGCTTGAAAATTGACTTAAATGCTTAATTTCCTTTTCCAACTAGTTGCTGATTATGTTTCTGACAAATTTTTCAGCTCTAGTCATCCCAGCTGCTCTTCAGATTCCAATGCCCGTTTTATATTGATTAATTTATACATCTCCCATTTCTAACCATAGAACCCTGCTGGGTGCACTCACTGTCACTTTTATCCTCTCCTTTTCAATAGATTCACGGGTTCAAATTCAGTTCACCTTCAGGAATAATGGACCAGATCACCTGCAGCCTTCGTGTCCAGGCCTCAGGATGGGGACCTGTTCACATCCTGTCCTCCTGTATTACATGTCAACCCACATTCCCCACATTCCCATCACAAAAAGACCTGCGTATGCATTTCAGGACAAGGTTGGGAAATGGGTTACTTTATATGTGGGTGTGTTAGAAGAGATCACCACATCCTAACCTTTCTGTCACATTACCCTGGAGCATTTGACAATAAAAGATCAAAACTGCACTTTTGGCTCGTCAAGATGACGGACAGTGATGGAGTCTACCTTCATATTGTGATCATAGTGATTTGAATGCAAACTGGGTGCCAAAGTGACCTTTACAGCTGATGAGCTTACCGACCAGAGCCAAGAAATGCAGCAGTGCCTGGCTGATGGCTTGTGTGTTAATACCTCCACCTGATTTTAGCGCCTGTATCCCAACACACATCCTCCCTTTCTAACCTTGAGGCAGGGCACAGAGCCAGCCAGACAGGAGCTGGTCCTGGAACCCCGACCTCAATGACATTTGGTCCATGTGATGGTCACACACACACACACACACACACACACACACACACACACACACACACACACACACACACACTGCTGCTGTGTAAAATGATCAGGCTGCATGCTTGGATGGTCTCTGGCACCGGTTGGGTGTTCAGGTCTCGGCACGGCCATGCGCCGCCAGGCAGTGATAAAATCTGTCTACTGAGCCGCAGAGGGACCGGCTTGTTGGCGGATCACCATCATCCCCGCATCCATATTTAATAATCCCGTCATGTAGAGATCCGGGCTAAGAGCTGGCAGACGCACTGACTGACCTGTTGCCTGCGGGATGTCGCAGAGCCACGCTCGGCATCCGAGGCGGCGTTCTCCAGGGTCCCGCTCCCCTCCTCCGCCGCCCGCGGCTCGTCGTCGGCGTCTGCGTCGGCTCGGACCTCCAGAGCGGCGTCCACCATCTCCAGGTGTTTGCACCTGAGCACCTCCAGCTCCAGCACCCCGGCCAGCGTCGCTTTGAGGCGCTCCCCGATGCGGACGCGCTCGGTGCCCGACCAGAGCGAGTTCACGCAGCCACGGCGGCCGGCCATCCTCGTCGGGGCGGGCGGAACCGGGGGCGCACCGCTGACCACCGCTCGGTTACCGTGCAATGGATGAGAGGAATGAAACCGACTAAGGTCCCGCTCCAGGTAGAGCAACACGGGTCCGGACGAGCGAAAGCAACATAGCAGCCGCTTGAATTAACGCAATAAGGAAAATAAAACCCTCACCATCTCTAACGTGCCATGCAGCCCACAGCCTCAGCCCCGCTCACTGGCACAAGACTAGAATTAATGAAGCCACCGGTACAATGAGGGAACATCAACGAGCCTTGTCTCATATTAATCCAGGCTTAATTTCCTGTTGACACCGTCCTGGTTTTTTTTTTTTTTTTTTTTTTTCTAATGTCACTCATAAGCCTACTGGTCCGGTGGAGTTACCATGGCTCTGCGCTCCGTACGCTGCGTCCCCAATGAGACAATGCAACAGACGGGCAGAGGCTGATAACGTTACATGTGGGAGCAGGCAGCGGGGAGGAGGAGGAGCCACTGCACCAGGGCTGCTCACGGATTGGTCGGGGAAGTTATTCGAATGGACGCGTGGAAAAAAAAAGATCCCCCTCTTGCATTGTCAGGGGACAAAATACTCACATTCCCACAGTGTTCCCATAGAGGAAGTGTGGATATACAGTGACCTCATCGTGCTCTGTACTACCACCAGTGGTATCAGTGGAGGCTATAGCAGACTTTGCCCCAAGGGCCCCAGAAACACACACTTTTGTTAGGGAATAGAGCTTTTTTTTTACCCACAATGGTGAGAAAACTACAGGTGTACATAATAATATTAAGAATGGCCGAATTCCATTTAGCTGCCTCAGTTTCAGGGTCCTAGTGCTGGCTCACTCATTGGACGCCTATAATAGGCACAAATACAATATGATTATGTTGAGCTGTATTTAACCATAGACTGGTGTCAGACTTGTATTATTTTAGTTTATGTTGTGTTTAAATGGTGCATGATCCCAAACAAGGTCGTGTTTAATCAAATTATCTTAAACTAACTGACACACTTTGGTTTCTGGGTCTAGACTTTAGACTTTAATGATAACTTGGGGAATGCAGGTTTTGGCGGGCAGTGGGTCAACAGTGGCCCCTCTGAATGAGATTCAGATTCTTCTTAAACTAATGGAACATCTATAACAATGTGTGGATGCTGGTTTTTATAAAACTGTGTATTACATCTCTTTTCAGAAACAAGAAAAGATGAAGTGTGCAGCATTCGGTCTAAATTCCCCAACAAATTACCTGTGAGTTGCTTTTCCATTCTGGTATTTCACAAATACAGTTTAATCACCAGTTTTACACTTTATATTCTGTGTGTGTGTGTGTGTGTGTGTGTGTGTGTGTGTGTGTGTGTGTGTGTGTGTGTGTGTGGTGGCACTATACCAGCTGACCTCAGGTGTGTCTCTGTGTTCAGGTGATTGTTGAACGTTACATCCGTGAACAGACTCTTCCCCTGTTGGACAAATCTAAGTTCCTGGTTCCCTTTGAGCTCACGTTGGGTCAGTTCCTGTGCCTGCTCAGGTAAACCATGTGTGACTCTGTGTGACTGTGGAGACTCAAAAACAAGCTTTATTCTGCTCAACGCAACCATCCCTTCTCTCCACTGTCTCCTCGAGCTGTCAGATTCACTGTTGTTGCATCCACCCTCTTCAACCATCTTTTTCTTTCTGCTAGGAATAAGATTGCATTGGACTCCACACAGGCTCTGTTCCTCCTGGTGGCAGAGAAGAGCATGTCCTGCATGTCCTCCAGCATGGGGGAGGTGTATTCTCGCCACAGAGACACCGACGGCTTCCTCTACATCACCTACGCCTCGCAGGAGATGTTCAGATTCTTCTTAAACTAATGATACATCTCATTATTATTAAATCTGTTGGATACTTCATCAAGGCTGTTTGTTATTGTGGATAAAAACTTTTCACAAATTGCCTTTATATTATTTTAAACATATATCCTACAAGAATGCAGTCTTCAATTTGAAAAAAAGCAGATTATTCAGGTTCTTTCAGCTTCACTCATTCACAGTGAAGCTGCTGGTAAAGTTTATGAGTGGTGTTGATAATGTATGTGTGTGCCTGACAGGTGCAGTGCACTTTGCTCTAGTGCCACCTTTCAACCAGCAGAGGGCGATCTTCACCCACATCAGAGCATCTGTGCCTGACTGTGTTTCTACCAAACTACAACCTGACAGTAGGACTTCCTTCAAGTTTTCCATATCTGAGTTAATCTATGTACATTCAGTAACATTCAGAAGACTAAATACAGTAGCAGTATAATGTTCAATAGCACCACAATATATACCCTCCTATAAAATGATCATACAGTTGAACCAACACCCCAGTTTTTGAACACTGTATGTTTCAGGAAGGTAGCTCGGTGTACCTAATAAACAGAGCACATATACTGTAACATGATACCTTCAGAAGACAAAACATTATGGATCTCTGAGCTGATCTCAACTCAAGGCCCACTCAAGCTTTTGACCACATCACATGATCCTTATCAGCATATAGAGTTTGTCCTTTTCCAAAAAAAAGGAGGTGAAAAAGGTGAAAGGAGTACTCAGATCATTTATTTAAGTAAAAGAAGCAATACCGCTGTGAAACTGTGGAAAAGGTGAAACTCCCTACAGCCAGTGTTTAGTTTGTCCATTCTGGGCTACTGTAGAAACCTGGCAGCCTCCACTGAAGAAGAGCCTCAGCGTCTGTAGATAAAAATGTCTCATTGGATAACAAATCACCAGGATTCTTAGTTTCATGTGATTATACACAAATGAAAACATACATATAAATATTATATTCCATTTCTGCCAACAGATCCTCTAAAATGTTACATAGTGGACCTTTAAACTGTCATAATTTATGTGTTGATCATATTTTGTATTATCATTCAGAATCTGCAAAATAACAGATGTTGTAGAGTAGAAAGAAAAACAATACAGCTACTAAATATACCTTAAATGTACTGTTGGTATAGTTCGACTCACCATAGCAGGAAAAGCACAGGCTTATTAATAACTTCTTTGTTCAGTTGTTGGGGATCGTGTATTTTGCTGTGGTGGAGCTCGCTGTTTGCATGTCCTTGTCACCTGCTTCATAGCCGTCACTCACAATATATTAAAGAGATGTAGGTCAACCAATTGTATCATTCCTTGTCAATTAATAACTAACATATTTTTGAGCTTCAAAGGTTCCTTTAAGTCAATAATATACTTCAGGGCACTTGAGAGGACCCATTGTCTGCTGTGATAAACAAAATGTCTTCAGTGTTTACTGGGTGGCGTTCTCTGGAGCTCAGTGTCACACAAATGTGTGAATAAGGAGTCAGTAAATAACAATAAATAGATCAGAAAACAATAAACTACATACATACTTACATTTGCTTCAGTTTGGAGACCCTGCACCTGAAATAAACCCTGTTTTTAAATCTCCACGTCACTGCTACTATTGATCGTGATCAATGAAACAGGAGTATAACATACGGGACATGATGAACAGCTGTAATGTGGCCAACAGGGCGATCGGACAGTGAGGCCAAAGGTCAGGAGTTAACTAAATGTTTATGTGGTCAAACTCAGAGCAATCAGACCTCATGATAAAGCTGGCACCGGGCAGGTTTGTGTGTTCCTGTATGTTCCTGTTTGTCTGAATCATTACTGTCATGTGTTGTTTATGTCCCTTCACATTGTGGGTTGCCCTCATTACACTCAGGGTTGTGCTCCACTGTGTGAATGTGTATGTGACAGCAGCACCAATATCACAAGTAGATGTGAGAATGCTCCATGAGATAAGCAGTATATGTGAATCTGGTTTGAACCACACACACACACACACACACACACACACACACGCACACACACACACACACACACACACACACACACACACACACACACACACACACGCACACACAGATGCACCCCTTCATCCACACACACTGCCCACCAGGACGTGGAGTGTGTCTTTGTTTGTCGGTGTCACATATTTCGACTCCTCCCGACTCTGCCTCCTATAAAACGGCAGCAGTCAGAGCAGCTCGTTGGGGTTTGCTGACTTCCACCCGAGGGGACTTCACCGTCAGCCTGGGCAAGACCGCCGCACCGCCTCCATCACAGCTGGTCTCTGCAAGCCACCCCAAGCAACAAACAAACAAACATGGCTCCTTTTGAGAAATCCATGGAGATGATGCCCTTCAAGCAAAGGAAATGCCTCGGTATGTCACGTCTTTTACTTGATTCTTTGCTATAACAATGTGTGGATGCTGGTTTTTATAAAACTGTGTATTACATCTCTTTTCAGAAACAAGAAAAGATGAAGTGTGCAGCATTCGGTCTAAATTCCCCAACAAATTACCTGTGAGTTGCTTTTCCATTCTGGTATTTCACAAATACAGTTTAATCACCAGTTTTACACTTTATATTCTGTGTGTGTGTGTGTGTGTGTGTGTGTGTGTGTGATGTGTGTGGTGGCACTATACCAGCTGACCTCAGGTGTGTCTCTGTGTTCAGGTGATTGTTGAACGTTACATCCGTGAACAGACTCTTCCCCTGTTGGACAAATCTAAGTTCCTGGTTCCCTTTGAGCTCACGTTGGGTCAGTTCCTGTGCCTGCTCAGGTAAACCATGTGTGACTCTGTGTGACTGTGGAGACTCAAAAACAAGCTTTATTCTGCTCAACGCAACCATCCCTTCTCTCCACTGTCTCCCCGAGCTGTCAGATTCACTGTTGTTGCATCCACCCTCTTCAACCATCTTTTTCTTTCTGCTAGGAATAAGATTGCATTGGACTCCACACAGGCTCTGTTCCTCCTGGTGGCAGAGAAGAGCATGTCCTGCATGTCCTCCAGCATGGGGGAGGTGTATTCTCGCCACAGAGACACCGACGGCTTCCTCTACATCACCTACGCCTCGCAGGAGATGTTCGGAGCACCTCAACCAGCAGCTAGACCGCCCTGCTGAGCCTGAAGCAGATAAAAATGAACTGGACCAATGGTGGTGACACCACACAACCAAACTGGAGGAAAAAAAGGAGAGACTGAGCCGAGCTGAGACTGTTTTTATCACGTCTTTTTTTAGCCCCAAACTGCATTATCAGCCTACCTCACGAACATTGCTAGACTTCCCTTTTCATGCTCTGCCACCTGACAAGACTCAACCTGACAATGTCTATGTTTTAGACTTTATATATATATATACATAGATTATATTATATTTAATTTAGGAAACAATCAAGAAGATGACAGACTCTGAGTGTTGTGATCCTTCTCTGCTACTCCAAAATCTTAAAGACAGTTTGAAAATGATGATATTGTTTGACTGTTAATGTCTTAACAGGTCAGAAATGTCCATATTCAGTTACCTCAGAGATGTAAATGTGATGTTCACAGTGCTGTAATGCCAGTTCAGTGTTAAACCACCACCTCCTCCTTCACGCTGCACAAACGGGGTCAATATCTCGCTGGTAATCAGACTCCAACTTAGCACTTATCTCCCCTTCCTCCTCTCCTTCCTTTGATAGATCGCCTCTTCATCCTCGTCTTCCCTTTTAAAATGTGAAACTGCGCTCTGGACTTTGAGGCACTCGCTGAAGATACAGATGTCAGTGATGCTAAAGCTGCTCTGATTTGTTCTGTATTCAGCTGTCTGTATTCAAAAGAAATAAATTCTTGTCCTTTTAATTGATTGACTCTGTGTAATATTTTGGGTAGACATATATAAAGCATGCCTTTGAAGCATATTAAATAGAAAGATTTAAATTTATATTATGCTTAAAAGTTACATGTTGTTTTGTTCCTACTTGCGTGTGTGGCTGCAGTTTTCTCTTGCTGCATGAAAAAATTGTATAATATAATATTTTTAGGTAACAGCTGTGTTTTCAAGTTGAACTCCAGATGTTTTGAGGTCACTGAATGGAGCTTGAACAGGTTAAGAACAGAGAAATATCAAACCATCAAAAATAGACATTGTTTCATAACATTTGACTGCTTTCTGAGTTGTTTATGAATCTACTACATTAAATATAGTAGAAGCCATGTGTGCGTCTACTCGTACACATACAGGTGCCTCATTCCTCACCTGCCTCTGAGAAGTGGCACTCCCTCCACACGACAGTGTTACAGTGTTATATAAACCCGACCCAGTTAACTATCTGCAGGGGTCAGTGTGTCAGAAGGCTGAAGGGAGTATTTTTAGACATGAAGGAGCAAATGTGACCCCGAAAACACCGAGACGGGGGGTTAGAGAAAGAGTCAGAGGAGTGACGGGAATACAGATGAAAAACAAAGAACAGGGCAAAGCTGAGCTCTGTCAACAGTGGAAGAAACGGAGGGAAGAGGGGGAAAAGAGAACATAGTGACGCCCTAACAGGGGAAGACAGGAAAAAGGAAACAGTGTATAGGAGAGATATACAGTGGGGGAGAGAGCCAGCTATCCAAACACACAGTGTACAGAAACACAGGGACGTACAGTCGTACCTCCTCTCACTTCACACCACTGTGTGCATTCCAGCAGCTCTCTGTCAATATATTATCATACCAGAACAAGAGGAACCCTGAAGCTTCTGAGAGCTGTAAGTTATCTGTTTTGACCACAAATGAGTCTCAGTTTCAAACTGCTCAACACAAAATGCTACACTTCTCCTTTTGGCCTCAAAATCTCTTGAATTATGTAACAAACACAGATCACGTAGTCTAGAATCTGACTTCAGTAAATCCTACTTTCCTAAAAGGTATTAATACTGGAAATAACATTACTTTTATATATTAAAATTTACAATTTACATTGGAGTAACAGACACACTAACCAAAACCGAAATTTAATTTATCTTTTAAATGTATGGCATGTGTAAGATGCTTCAGTTCAGACATAACATTACGGGAATCTATTTGGTAGCTGTAGCAGTGTTTCTAAACTATTTTATTTTATTGGAATATTAGAAAATGTTGTGTTTGTCAGGGCTTATATAAGTTTTGTGTCTGTTTTCTTTTTTATATTCCTAGATATGATATATTTATTGTTTATTATCAATTTCTCCCTCTGATCATACCTCTTTTATGGCCCTCAACTACTCTCTTCATAGAAGCCTGTCCTCATTTATAACCTATGTTCTGTGGTCTATGTCAATTTCTTTTGCAAAATACTGGATAATTTTCCTTCTTGGATTGTATCATTTGAGCCCTCAAAGGTCCATCAAATGATACAATCCAAGAAGGAAAATCCCTCTTGTGTACACACTGAGGCCTTAACCTTTATTTTGACGGTGTCACAACTTTGAATGGTTGGGAACCAGTTCAGGGCGTTCACAGTGAGCGGTAGCCCTGTACTATAGCTGCAGCAGAGACACAAGAAAGAACACCACCCTACATACTGTTAGAACTGGCACTAATATGAGTCCATCCAAGCACCGTCCCTGTAATAACTTATCAAGACACAAGAGAGCGCCTCTTTATCAAAGCTGAAATCTGCCACTGTGGTTAAAAAAAAAACCCAAACAGCTGGTGAACATCATGCGTGTCTCACGCTGACTGATAATCTAGTGAGTCAGTGTGCAGAACTGCAGTGAGTCTCTATGAAGGCTGAGTGTGCTGATGAGAGAGCGACACATGACCCTGAGTGAAAGAGAAATGAGACGTCGATGACTCTGATTCAGGAGGTCATAAAAATGTGAAAACAACCAGGTGACATCTCCAAGTCGAGGCTTATAGATGCAGAACAATGTGGAAAAATGTAAACAGACAAGAACAGACATGCAGTGAAAGATATAATATGGGAATGTGTTTACATAATTCTTGGCCTTGTATCAGTTCTCTTTGGTAACAAGGTTCACATGGAAAATACATCAACTTCAAACGTACTATGAACGGCTGACGTGCATCTGATTTATATTTCACTTTCACATCTTATTTGAATCGAACAAACAGACGTCAGAGCAGATTTAGACTAGTTCAAGTTATACAACAGCAGAGGTTTACTCAGTGAATGTAAAGTGAAGTTCTCAGCAGCCAACTTCCTGTCTATTCAGACTCCAGTATAACTTTAATAAAGCTACAGCTTCCTGTCTTACTGTTTATGATTTGTGCTTGTCTCCTTGAGCCTGGACTGTATTTCCAGCTTTGTAAATTGTCTCCATGTGTCCTCGAAAATGTCTCATGCCAGAGAATGTCACAAGTGTCTGTCTCTACTGCTGTTTTCAATTTGCCCTCAGAAATATGCAGAGGCCACTTGTTTCATGGGCAAATGGCCTTATATGTCCTGTGGCAGTGCTGACAGTGACTCTTTCTGCCCTACAGAGGGCAGTAGACTGCATTGAAACTATCAAAATGAGGGCATTTCAAAATAAAAGTCTCTGGATGACCGCTGGGTGACACAGTCCTTGACATGACCCTCAAATACAAATTACCACAAAACAAAAGCACACAACTCTGATTCAGTTTCGATTTATTGAGCAAATATAATATATGTTAATACGTTTTTAATTAGCGGCTCTTCCAGTGAGAGTTTCTTCCGTAAGTAAAACATATGTTGAACTCAAAGTCAACCTTAAAAATCCACATAACCACGAGTCAGATGGTACAGTATTCCTTTTTATTTATCTGGCAAAATAATAAAAAGGGAAGCATTTGGAAAGAGTCAAAGATAACAGTCAGGAAATACAAAAATATAGATAAAACAATTCTAACAGCTGTTTTGATTTATTTCCTTTTTCTCTCCAAATGGGAACAAAACTATATTTCTTTGGATCAACATATAATAATATGGACTGTATACTTATAAGACATCTTTTACACAGGATGCACACATCCATGTTCAGCCCCATCATGCAACCTCCGATTACCCATCAGTTCATGATCCAGTAATGTCCTTTCATCAGTTTGCAAATCAACCCTCCTTCCCCCCCATTTATTTCTAATAGATATTGAAACATTATCCCCTAATGCACAAAGATGGACCTCCCCTCCCCCTGAACCCCTCCAGTCTCTCTCTGGTGAAAAAGATCACAGCGATACCTCCTCGTGGTGTGACAGGAAGCCTGGAGACTCGCAGCCTGATGGAGGATGATGCTGTTCATGTGCTGTTGTGGTTGGACTTGGAGAGTCCTAAACATGATGCAAAGCGTTGACACGGCTGGTCTCCACAGACTGCTCCCCCCTCCTCTAGTCCTGCACGACTGTCCCGCGTTTGGATGGGGGCACCAGGTGTTCGGGCAGCGTGGGCGGCAGCTCGTGGCCCTCCAGCTTCACCTTGATCAGGTGGTTGGCCAGGGCGAACTCCTCATCATCGAGGAGGCCATCTTTATCCACGTCTGCTAGCTTCCAGATCTTTCCCAGGACCGTGTTGGGCAGCTTGGACTTCAGCATCTCCTTCTTGGCTGCACCGCCGGACACTTTGCCGTTGATGGGAGAGAGGGTGTAGAAGATCTCATCGTACGTGGGCTTGTCGCGACCCACCACCCACTCAAGCTCGTCGATGCCTTCACTGGCGCCCTCTCCATAGCCGTGACCGAAGGGGCCGGTCATGGTTCCCTCAAAGGCTCCACCCTTGACGGACTGGCTGGGCATGGCGGCCTCTTCCTGGCGCACCATGGCCATGAGACGGGCGATGTCGTTGGCGAGCATGTCCTCCACGGCCTCAAGCAGCTTGGGCTTCAGCACTGCAAACTTAGAGAAGTCCTGGCCATTCAGTTGCTCCTGAAGGGTTCGGGGGGTTGAGAGAAAACAGGAATTGGGGATAGAAATAGATCAGTCTTCAATGGCTACCAATGAGAGTAGCTTACAAGAAGCAGGATTTCCTGACAAACCAGGAAAAATAAATCTCATCCCTGTCCTGGCCCATCCTGCAGGGCAAGGGCAGGAAAGAAGGTCAAAGATGTGAAGAGAGTAAAGGTTGGGAGGTCATTGTACTCTGAACCTTTGTTTTAAACAATTTATTTTAGAGTCAAATTTGTTATTTCATCAAATATGTACCTCAGTTACTGTGTAGGTGGCTAGATTCATCTCTAGAAAGAAAGAAGATTCATCTCTAGATGTATCTTCTTTCTTTAAATCTCACCTGCATCTTGGCGAGGTTGGGGAAGTCTCCCGGTGAGATCTGGTGCTCCTTCTCGATCTTATGGTAGATCTCTCCCAGGTTGGCTATCAGCTCCTTCTTCTTGGTGTCCTTTCCAAACATACTCGGCATTTCCTTTTTCAGAGAGCTGATAATGTAGGCTTGCACCTGGACACCACAGAAGAAATAAGACAGACACATTTTTATTACTTTTGTAATAACTCTGAAAAGTTGCATTATTTCTATTCTTATATTTTATAGTCATTTCTTTGAAGCTGGCTGCTCCCTACAAACAAACACGTCACAAAATGAACATCTAAATCAGAGGATTTCTGATGCTACCAAGAAAAATATACAGTCATCCTCCACTTGAAAAATGCTTGGAAGTTTGACCTTCACTGTGCAGAATGACACATGTTCAGAGTTTGACACTAGAAGGCTTCACATTCATCTGCTGAACATCTGCTTCTCTGGGTTCGCATGAAATCTAAGATGTGTTTATACTATTTTGTGACATCACAACTAGTTCGGAGGTCAATCACGGTCCAGTGCGCAACTTCGGTATACACACACAGATAGTTTGGACTTTACAGTGAAGTGACATCTTGTGTTCAGTGGTTCAACTTTTTTCAAT